CCTGAGAAAGTTCAAACTGGGCCTGTTTGCAGATAGGTATTATAACTCTCCAGGGCTTCCAGCTTCACACTTTTCACCAGGGTGATACAGAGTCACCTTGCAAATACAGTTTGGTTGACACAAGTTCCAAGCAGCAAGCACAGGTGAAAAAGCTCCACAGAGAAATGCCCTCCAGCAACATTTCCTTAACAACCCACCCAGAAATCAGGTCCTCTTCACTTTCACTCTGTCCTTTTTGGACATGTTTTTCCCTCTGTTTGGGCAGAGAAGGTGAGTCATGGAACAAAGACAGCGTGGAAATTTACATCCAGCTATGAAAGTGCATGTTATGACTACCACGAAAAAAAATCATTCACACAACTCACTCTCAGTGTAAGTCACACCCAGCTTGGAAGAAATATGAGTTTAAACCTGTTCCTTTTTGGTTGATTGACGCTGCTGGCTGCTGCAAGCTGCTTCCTCTGCATGTCACACTCAGCCTTCAGCCTTTGTTTTGTAAGATATGTAAAACCTCTCCAGTCAGCTGCCTGCAACTAGGTGGATGGACACAAATGCTGCCTCAGAGAGGGCTAAGGGGCACCCCTGTGCTCTGACCCCCTCACAGAGCAGCGTCCTATCCCCTCAAGGTGGGGTGTTGCAGTATTCCCAGGTGTTTGATGGGTGGCAGTGCATGGAGAGTGCCTCCCTGCTCTTGGGTCTTCATGCTTTGAACCCCCTCATTCAGGACTATGCATTTTATCTTGAAGTGCAGGTCTCACCCTCTCTTTTTAAAATGCGGTGTCTGCTGCTGCCACCTACCTTTTGTGCTGGAGTGGATGCAAGAAATATTCCATACACCGAGTCTGGAAGGAGCCCGGGATTTCCTCCTCATCCCACGAGCTATAAACCCAACCTATAAACCACGAGGTTAATTTGTTGCGTGGGCAGGAGGCTTTATCTGCTGTTGTGAGAAAACATTTCCTGCCGTGGAAGAGAAAAAGTTTCAAAACCCATCAGGAGATCACTTCTTGCTCTTGCCTGGCTGTGAGGGCTTTCACACAGCAGATCTCGGCATCTGCCCCAGAGAGGAGATGGTCATATCAGCCAGGGAGCATTTCATGTAACAGGAGAGGTGGAAAGAGGTGTCTGGGAAACCTGTGGCCTCACAGCAGTAGGGGTCTGAACCTCACTCTCAGCCTTCCCAGCTGCTTCACGATGTGGTGATTGTGAAGTGGAAGCAGAGGTAGAGATGAAATGCTGTCCCCAAATGTTTGTCCCCAACAAACCTCTGCTTTCCTTCAGACACATTCCTGGAGAAGCACAAACCCCGTAGGAATGCTGGCGTGTGTGGTTTGTGCCAGGTTTATCTCTCAGGCAGCCCCCAGACCGCTCAGCTTCGCAGCAGTCAGAACACATGGGAAATATTTAAGCAAAATAAATGTGGCTTTTCTGTGGGTACTAACCCCAAGAGGGACATAGGACAGCTCTAACCATCTTTTCCCACCTGCTTTTCCACAGCAAACAGCAGACCTGCAATTAGTTTTGGGTGAGGAGGAGCTGCAGCTGACACAGATCTGCCAAGCCCAGGTGCTGCCATGCAGAGGTTTCAGCATCACAGGCTCGTGTCCACGTGCTGACATCCCACCCAGGCTCATCACCAGCCCCAGCCTTGAGCTGAGAAGCAGCACACAACCTCTGAGTAAGCAATTGGTTTCTTTTCTTTACACCAGGACGGCATCATTCCTGCACATTCTGCAGACTAAGTATGGGAATGATTTCACCCACCACACGCAGCCACCTTGATGGGAGAGAAGCCTGGCAGACGTCTCACAGCACACAACAGCTTTATGCTGCCATCCAGGGCAGGAAGCAAGAAAGGATATTATATCAAACAGAAGGCATGGGAGAATTTCAGGTTAGATGGAGCATACTTAGTCACAGCAGAACTGGGTCAATGTTCTGGGACCTGTGTTCACTTCCTGCAGGAACCCTGGCTCAGCCCAAAATAGTAGCAGTTAGGCAAAAGCCAAATATCTGCCCCTTTTTCTCCCCACAGCAAATACTAATGCTTACGTCATTAAAGGAGAAGCACAAATAGAACAGCCTGGGGCTGTGATTTGCAAAGTTCTTGGTCTGTGGATGAACCATCAGCTTTTCTTATAGCTCACTATTGTGCCATCAGACTTTTCACTGAAGATACTATCAGGATGATATAGGCCTTCATATCCACCCAACATCAACTAAGAAGAATCAGAGTCCACATCTGTGCGTTTTCTGTGTGACCCGGTTTTTTTCTCGCCGCCTGGCACGTGCACCAGCACAGCACAGGACAGCATGCACCAAAGAATGGCTCCTACTCGCAGTTTGGACACTGTTTTGGAAAAGATGGGAGAGTTTGGCTCTGTGGGTACAAGGTGTGCCCCACCTGTTCTCCTCAGGGACAGAGGACAGCCCATATCTATTTTATTTCACCGCGCAGAGCCACTACAAGCACTGCCTGCAGCACGCTGGGTTACCACTGCTCTGCACTGTGCACCCTCGAGCAGGTGTTCACTTCTCTCCAGACACGTGCCAAAGGCTGTCAGCCAGCATTGGTAGGAGAACACCTGAAACTACGCGCAGAGCCACACACCTCTGTCCATCCTTCTTCCAGGCTTTGTGAATGTTTTTAAGAGCAACTCGAGTAGGCAGGATCCGGGGGCAGATCCTCAGCAAGCCCATCGGCAGGGAGCTGTTGACATCAGTGGAAAGAGCCTTTACACAACGTGATGATCCTTATATTGTTCAGGAACACCCTAGAACTGAAATCCCCGTAGTGGGATACCTGGGGCACCAAACACGCTCAGAAAAGAGGAGCTGCTTGGAAGAATTACAGCTTTCAGAGTAATTGGTGTGTGCCTGACCAATTCCCATTAAAACCAGGTGGTTTTTAAGGGGGTTGTTTTTCCTTTAGTGCCTTATAATACTTGAACCTGAAGTCCTGGGGTCCTGTGCCTGGTTCCCAAGGTAAACACATGTAATTTATTTCAGAAAGGCATCTGCAGCACAGGAATTCATTACATACATACCCGATGGGCAGCAGCCAACATTTCAAATGTGCCAAGTTACCAGAATTTTATTAAAAGCTGTTAAGAGTTAGGGGGAAGGTGCAGAGAAAAGCAACCTCCTTCCCAAAGCCAGGTGGCTTAGGCTAGACTTACGCCGCTTCCCAAATGGATGAGGCAAGCTGGAGTCAGAGGTTCCTTCCAGCAACCAGCTCAGTCCCCCTGGATGTCTCTCCGTAAGCTGCACAAATATTCTGGGGAGGGGGAGGGAGAGAGAAAAGAGTGAAACCTATTCAATTACATCAAGATCACGACTGGCCCTAGTAAAATCATTTATGGAGTGAGGGAACCCGGAGCGGTTTGGGCTGGAGCCATCTGCAGTTATTTGGTATATACAGAATCCGTTTCTATGGATTTTATTAATAGGTCACGCGATTGTATACGAGGATGTGAGATCGGAATCTCTCAGGAGGGGTCCCTGGTTGGGGTTTCTATTGCCTTTATAGGCAATGGCTCAAACTTTCTTGCAGCAGCAACTCCTTAAAAACTTGAGTGGAATGGGGCTGGTTTTAGGATCCAGCCCATTTTTTTCTCTCCCCCACCAAAATCTTGAATTGACTTTGTTCCTCTTCCTCATTTACTAAATGGGGAAACAAGGAAATAATCAGAGAAATATTCTTACTTACTTTTTCCATTGTCTGTATGAATTTTCCCTCTTTCCCACCAGTCTGAGGGATATCTGGTACATAACTCAGCTCCCACTTCCATCTGTTTTTCAGGCTTTTTTGGCTCTTATTTAGGGGTGAATTTTGCTTTTATGCCACTGTTGGCTCTCCACGTATGGGAAGTTGAGCCCAAAGGGACTTGGACACACAACAGAGGCTTGGGACAGGTGGGTGTAAATTGGAGCAGCCCAGAGGCTTCTCTACTTCCCCAGGGAGCTGCCCAAGGATCCCTGAGCTGTTCTGAAGAGCAAGCTGTGACATGGGAACAGTCAAAAGCCTCTGCCCTTTGGTCTTCACTGTGGCTCGATTTTGCTTCAATTCCCCCAAAAGAGACAAAACCAAACCAAGTTCTCAGAGAGCAATTCCTTCACATCCTGGCCACATGGAGAAAGCTGGGCCCTGCAGAAAGCCACACTGCTGCAGCAAGTGGCTTCACCAGCTTCACCAACACTCCAGCTGATGAAGCCCCATTCCAGAATTTGGGGCTTTCAGCACTGTTTCTCATCATCTCCTGCTTTTTCAAGTTAGCCCTACATGGGACAGCTCGCTCTTTTCAGGAGCTTTCAGGAGGTCCCAGAGACCCCCAGCTGGAGTGCAGAGGCCACATTCCATCCTTCTTGAAAGCAAACCCTGGGGGGGGATCCCACGGTGTCTCACGGGGTGGGAGTGGGGGCTGATCCGACCTGCAGGGCCAAAAGGGAAGCCCCACCGGGACCAATCAGGGCTGCAGGAGGGGGTGTCACCCGGGGGGTCGGAACTGCCCCGGGGGTCGAAACTGCCCCACGAGTCTCACCGTGGCTGATACGACCTGTGGGGGCCCAGGGAAGCCCCACGGGACCGAGCAGGGCTGCGGGACAGAGCATCATCCGGGATGCGAGTCCGCCCGGGGGTTGGCGCTGCCCCGGGGGATCGGAACTGCCCCGGGGGTCGGAGCTGCCCCACGAGTCTCATCGCGGCCGATTGCGACCTGCAGGGCCAAAGGAAGCCCAAGCGATGCCCTGCGGGGCACGGCATCATCCCGCACGGGGGTTGCAGCTGCCCCGGGGGCTCGGAACTGCCCCGGGGGTCGGAGCCGCCCCGCTCCACCCCCCGCCCCGGTGTCGCCCCCCAGCGCCGGGGCCCTGCCCGTCCCCCCCGGTGGCCCCGCTCGGTCCGCCCCCCGTGCCCATCCCCGTCCCATTGGCCGCGGCCGCCCCGCGCGTCACCGCTTCCTCCCGCTTTTGTGCGCCGCCCCAGCCCGGCTCCAGCCGAGCGGAGCCGAGCCCAGCTGAGCTGTTCCCAGCCGAGCCAGGCGCCGGGACCCACGGCGGTGACAAGCCCCGGGTGTGCGGGCATGGCACAGTGACCCCGCCGCCGCACCGGTGAGTCCGCCCGCAGCCCCCCCTTCCCGCCGGGTCCCTGCGCCCGCCTGCCCGGAGAGTTTCGGTTTTTAATTATTTTACGCTGTCTGCAGCGGTGGCCGAGAGTTTTTGCAGCCGGGACTGGCTTCCGTGGCTTTTTCTTCCTTCCTTTCTAGTCTCGCAAGTGGAGGGTTGTCCCTCCGGCTGGGTTTGGGGCTCGCAGGGGATGGAGCGGCTCTCCAAGAGGAGGGCGCCGGGAGCCGTGTCCGTGGGTGCGGATGGAAGGATTAAGGGATTGACCTTCCCCGGAGCTCCCCGCAACCCCCCTCCTTGTGCTGGTGCGCTCGGGTCACTGGTTTTCCCAGGTTGTTTCCTGGAAGCCTGTCCCAGCTGCAGCTGCTGACGGCGAGCGCCGGGATTAGACCCCGATATCCGTTCCCGGGATGCGTTAACCTCTGGAGCCAGCAGTTTCTGGCGGCGATCACTTGGGTCTCGCTTCCTTGGGAAGCGTCTCGACCACACCAGGGAGGCGCGGGGGTTCCCGGAGAGCCCTCACTGTCCAGCAAAGCTCTCCCCGCACCGTCTGCCCGGAGCGGTGAGGATGGGATGAGCGTGGGGAGGAAGGCTCTGCGGCGGGCACGGACCCCTGTAGGCGAGGGAAACCCCGCTTGGGGCGAGTGGCCGGCGGAGCTGGAAAACTGGATTTCCACCTGGACTCAGCCAGCGGCTGTCGTGGGGAGCGGTACCACGAGTCAGGAGGATGCTCTGGGAGGATTCGCTCAGTTTGGAGATCGGCTTCCCCCTCGGCTGCTGTTTTTATCCTCCTCTTTAATTCCTTTCTTGTAATCCAGTGGTTTTTGGAAGCAGACCTGATCCCGGTTCGATGCAGAGTCTGCATGTGTTGCTGGTGTGTGGACCAAAAACACAGGGCTCACTTGGGATTTGGAGACTTGGGATTTGTGCAGGATTTAAGTGATCCCAGGGATTTCCAGGGTCAAGCTCTTTCACTCTTTCACTTCTTTGGTGAGAGTGAGTGGCTGGAGGGAATTTCTTTCTATACCCCCTTATGAATTTATTTCCAGTCTGGTATGTGCAGTTTGATGTAGCTCTGTGCAGGATTTGTGCACAGAGTGCAGCTCTTGGAAGCAGTTCCTCAGGTGTGCATGAGATCAGTTGCATTTGGGGGCTTGCCTGTGGCTACCTATGTCTTGTGATACCTGTGTCAGATGGTCCAGTTTGCAGAACCCCTAATTTGACATCAGTTATGAATGGAGGTTCAAGGTTTCTCAGGGCTCTTGCAGATCAGAGCAGACCTCCATGCCTGGGCACAGCCTTTGCCCTGGGAAGGTTTTGCAGCTTGTAAAAGTTCCTCTGTTGGAGGCAGGACGTGAGGCTGGATGGGCTGCCAGCCTGGTGGGATGTGGATTTAAAGGATCTTTTATACCTCCCTTCTGTGAACGGGTTTTGGTGCTGCAGTTTTTTCCATGGGTTCTTAATCTCCATCAGGAACCCACAGCTCTGCCCTGTCAATGTGTGCTGATGGGTGATGCATTTCTTTTTTTGGAGGCTGTTAGAGCCTATGAGGGAAGTGTGCTCATGCAGAGAGATGTAGTCTGGATTTTCATCCAGACGAAGCGACTCCGGCGTGAAGAGCCAGCGACTGCAGCAGCCAGAGGAGCGGCTCCATCCCTCCTGAAACGTTCCTGTTGCTTTATGATGCTTCGGGATTTCAGCCTGCAGCTTGGACTTGATGCTTTCTGAATGTTCCCACTGGGAAGATGCCGGCGAGGATCACACGGTGTGTCTGGCTCCCTGGCAGAGCCGTGGGATGGAGTGTGTTGCTGCAGCATGGAAAGGGATGTGCTTCCAGCCCTGTTCTCCCCAGATGGACGTGGGAACGAGTGTGAGAGCTGGCAGGATCTTCTGTTCTGGTGGATCTGGCCCTGCTGTTGTAGACCTGCTGGTCGAGGCTGGAGGGAAGTGAGTCAGGGTTTGCTGTTAGAAGGGATATCTTTTATTAGACTGCTCAGGTAGCACAGGCTGTCTTTGGAGTGTACAAACCTGTCTACACGTAGAAGAAAACAGGGAGTGATTGCCCTGAGTGCACCTTGGCTCTCCTGATGGAGGGCATCATCTGAAAGAAAAGGGGAAAAAAAGAGATATTCAACTACAGTTCAGCCTTTGCAGTTCATCTGGCTTAAGGAAAGGCAATTTCTCTCTCTACAAATCTCTGGACTCTTTAGATCCTGAGACTCAGCACAGGAAAGGGACACATATCCCATGTGCCAGCCTTTCATGGGAGGTGGCCAAGCCCTTTGCAGCCCAGCTCCCCCAGCGAGGAGCCGCAGGTGATGGGACTGGTGCTCCCTGATGCCTGATGGTAGCAGGAGGCTGCTGGGCTCAGTCACTTCCACTCCCTTCTCTGCTCAGGGCACAGGCCAAGCACAGTGTGCACAGAAATGTGCAGAATGTCAGCTGTGCACCAGGGAGATGGAAAATGCAGTGCGGAGCCATAAGTGGTGGAATATGGAATTCAACTTTTTTCTTTTTTTGTCATCAGACACTTTTTAGAAAAAGGGGGCTATAAATGGCCCACTGATCCTGAGCTGGGCAGGTTCACCCCCAGTCCCCAGACTTTATTTATTTTCCTGTTTAAGCTCCACAAGGGGAAATGGGTGACCAAGTGGTTTTGGTGAGTCCCTTCGAGGAGCAGTTCCCCATCCCTGTATGCAGCCCTGCAGGACAGGTCAGTTCAGCATTTCTTTCTGGCACCTTTTCTGCCTTTGCTGAGTGAAGTGTGAGGTGCAGAGGTGGTGAATGTCATCTCAGTTGTGCCTGAAACACGCTGTCTCCGTGGGCTTAGCCCCATATCCCGCATGGCATGAGCCTTCATCTGATGTGGTCAGTGCTGTGGTGAGCATCAAATGGACAAGACAAGTGGTTTTCTGTCTGTGAAGGTGTATGTGAGCATGCATGAGCGTGGATATGTGGGCATTTTTGTTTGTTTTCTGTCTATCCCTGCAGTCCTGATCTGGTCTGGACGAGTAATCTTCCCGTTAGTCACTGAAATGCCGCTGGTATCCAACTCAAAGGGTGGTCCTGCATTGGAACAGGCTGCCCAGGGAAGTGGTGGAATCACCATCCCTGGAGGTATTCAGAAAGCATGCAGATGGGGGACATGGTTTAGTGGTGGACTTGGCAGTGCTGAGTTAATGGTTGGACATGATGATCTTTTCCAACCTTAATGATTCTAAGATTCAATTAGTCTGTCCCAGTTAATGGACACAAGAAATTAAAAGCAAAGATCTCCCTTAAAAATTGATGTCTTCCTCTTCAAAGCCCCTTGGGAGCTACTCCTGGCAGAAGACCTGTTGCATGGGCTCTAAGAGCAAGAGAAGAATGCTGTAGTGGGGCTAGAGAAGAGTTTTGGGGCTGCACACTGGGAGTATGGGGCTCCCTGCTTTGTTTCTTGGGCTGTTGCTCCAGGAGCTTTCCCTGGAGCCACAGGGTTTGGGCCAGGAAGGCCTCGATGGTGGAAGATGCAGCATTAGCATGGTCCTTGGTGGGGACCCTTGCAGCTCTTTGCCCTACATCCCCATCTCAGTGACTGGGGTGGGGGCACTGTTGAATGTCATCGCTGTGTCTGCTCTCAGGGCCAGCTTCTGTTCGCAGGGCACTTGGGACGTCTGTGAAGGGAACCCAGAGGGTTTGACCTGGACTTTCTGAGGCTTTTAGAAGTCAAAGGTGGAAGATATATCTGTACCCAGTGAAAAAGAGGATTCTGCTCCCAAGTGCGTTCCCCAAACACTTTTTTTGTGTCTTGGAGGATCCTAATACAAATGTTAGTGGAGACCAAGGGGCTCAGAATTTAATGAGAATCTGTGGTAGGCTGGAGCCTGTCCTGCTCTCCTGAGTTAAAACCCAGGCTGGCCACCATGTTATGCAGAACTAATTGTCATTTCTGTGAAATCTTCCCTGATTTTATACTCCCCACTCTCCCAAGATGATTTGGGGCAGCCCAGGGAGAACAAGCTGTAACAGCAATGAACCAGGGTGGAGCTGAGCCAAACCCTGGCTCACTGTGGAAGCTCCATGGGACAAAGTCCTGTTGGCAGTGTGTGCCGTGCCCAGCAGCCTGGGACAGATCCTGGAAGGAGCTGGCCAATTACTGCGTGGGCCACTGTGTAAACAACATGTGTGAGGGGCAGGTCCTTGGTGGGGGTGGGAGGATGGCTCAAGTGCTCAGGTAGTGATTAAACACCAAATTGCTTGAAAAAATAGCCCTCGGTGGGTGGATCATAGGCGCTCTGCAAACCTACTGTGAGCAGCAGCTTGTGTGCTGAAGTAACAAAAACTCATCTGATTTGATAGCTGGGTGATTCAGAGGGAGAAAAGACTTTGTACAATTGCTTTGGGAAGAATAATTATTGAGATAAAAAGCCTTTGCAAGAGATGTAGGAATGTCTTAAATCCATTGGTACTGAAAGGTGCGTGTGCTTTTGAGTGCTCCTGGACTACCAGGACTGTCCTGGAGTGATTGTGTTTGTCTTGTCCATGTGCGAGTGTTTCTTGCACAGCGGCTTCCAAGTGCCCCTAAATCCCCAAGGGAATATTGAAAACGTTGCACGTGACAGTGGTTAGGCCAAACACTGTGTGTAAAAGTGAACCCTGTCTTGTGCTGCAAGTTCTGCTGCTGTTGCTCTCGGTGCAGAGGTTCTGAGGAAGATGCTGCTGCTTTGGTGTATCTGTTGAAGTCTGTCTTTTTTGAGGTTGTCCTTGCCCTTCAGTCCCGTGGTCTGGTCAGGCAGCTGGACTAGATGATTGTTGTAGATCCCTTTCAATTGAACTACTCTATGAATGTACGTGGAAGCCCATCATGATGAGGATGGTGGGTTACTTGGATTTGCTCAGTGCTTATGAGCTGCAACCTCTTTGAGTTTATTGTCCTTGAGCAGAAGTCAGATTGTCATAGTCCAGTTGTGAACTGGAAATAGTGCAGTGCTCTCCATAAATAAGAACCT